TCGCTAAGACCGACAGAGCAGAGGCAGGAGCCAACCGAAACTGGGAAGGCCTCGGAGTTCATAGTTGGACAGGCAGTATGGGCCAGAATATTCAACAGTAATAGAAAATGGGAGGCGGGAGTAATTTTGGAGAACATGGGAAACAAAGTGACTAGAGTGGGATTCGCGGATGGGAGAGAGGGGGTGCGTCATCGGGATCAGTTGCGTAAAAGAATAGAACCGGAGAGGTTGAGAGGGGCGCTGCGGGTGGTGAGAAGTAAATGAGGGTATTAATTGGACTAGGCTTAAACAGAATTCAGGGTACGGGAATATATGTAGAAAAAAAAAAGAAAAAAAAATATATATAATTAGTGGGGTAGGTATTGTTTTTCCGAATGTCAGCGATTGTCCCTACGTACGAAAAAGAGAAAAATAATATAGATAATTAGTGGGGTAGGTATTGTCCTTCCGGATGTCAGCCATTACCCCTAAATAAATATAAAAAATTGTACCGTCCGGGGTAGGTATTGTCCTTCCGGATGTCAGCCATTACCCCTAAATAAATATAAAAAATTGTACCGTCCGAATGTGGAGATTATTCTGAAATGTGTGCAGGTAGGGAAAAATGGGACCGAATATCTGGAATGAACCATTCGATGTGTGGGATCTTAACCATGTATGCAAAATGCAATAATTAAATTAATGGGGCCCGGAGTTTATATTTTATCGGGGCGTTTTGGGCACCTTTTTGACCCAAATACCTCGGGTATATTCTTAATAAGAAGCAATTATTGTAATTGATGCCGAGGTGATTTCGTAAAGGTTTAGCTTAATAGGAACCCAAATGAGTGTTTAATAAAGTTAATATTTAATTGGTAATAATTGCCTCTCTCTTTGTTAAAAGGTTTTTACGAAATTAGGTTTAGTTAAATAAGTTGGATATGTGCGCGACAGGTGTAGGGATAGTTAAGTAAAATAAGAATGTTTGAAAAATAAAAATGTTGACAAGCTAACTTCTCGATTTAAAAAAGAATGTCAAAATAAAAAGTTAAAAAAAAAGAGAAAAAATAAGAAAGGCAATAAATCATCCTAAATTTTTGAGGAAAGAAAGGGAGAATTAAAGTTAGGGTAACACATAAAATGAGATAAAATTAAATTTAAAAAAAATATATATATTTAATGATTTGGCAGAAGTTTGAGGTTTGGAAAAGGGAAAAAGTTTAGAAGATAATAAATCAAAATTAGGAATTGGGAGAATATTATGTCAAGATTTAGTTGGTGAGGAAAATCCTTTTAAAAAAAGGGGGATCATAAATCTGAAAATAAAAAGTTAACAAGTTAAATTTAGATCGTGAGTATAAAAGGGGGAAGAAAAACTAATTTATTTCACACTTCTTAATTGATAGAAATTCTGTTTAAAATTCTTGTGGTTATATTCGTCATTCATTGTGAAGGTAAATAGAAAAATTTTGTTATTAAGTTTAAATTAAAAGAGAAGGAGAAAGAAAAGGTAAAGTTCTTTTTTGGGTTGGGAGTTTTCGTGGATTCGTAAAGGAAATGGAGGTTTACATTTTTTTCATTAAAAGAAAAATTAATTAGATGAGGGAAGAAGGGAATTATTAACTAAAGAAAAGAAAAATGTATATGTGTTAGTTAAGAAATAAACAGTAGAATAAATTCTTTCTGTGAATTAGTAAGTGAAAGAAATTTTGTTTTAATCGTTTGATTTATTAGGAAGGAAAAGGAGAAGTTTGTTTTTTTTTTGAAATTGTTTCCACTTGTGTCTGTAAATTAATTTGTAAGAAAAATTTTGGGGGTTGAATCGTTGGTTTAATTGTTTTGGTGAATTATTACGTTGGTAATTGTTTTGATGAATGGTTAAGTAAAAGGGAATTTTTTTTAAAAATTTGTTTTCATAGTGCCGTGGGGATCGTATGATTTATTAAAAGGAAAAGGGGTTTTTTTTAGCATTTGTTTCTGCAAATTGTTTCGTTCAAAATTTGTTTCTATAGCGCCTGGGAATCAAATTATTCTTGTTGATTTATAAAATAAAGGGGATAAAAATTGGGAAAGGTGGATAGGTGTATAAGTTTTAAATGTATACATATATATATTGAGTATATAGATTGTGAGTACCTGTAGATCGCCAGTCCAGGATGAATGTTAGCAGAAGTTGGATTTTTGAAGACGTCGAATTGTATTGGATAATGAGACAGCGACAGGTCCCGGGTTGGTGGGGATAGATGAGAGTTCCGAATCTCACGATGAGGCCAGTTGTGGGAGAGCAAAGACGCTGTTTTAGATGTCACCAGATTGGGCATCTGCGCAGTCGATGTCCACAGAGGGGGTTGCGGAGGGAGAGCCGGAGGGTGAGAAGTCAACGGCAAGAGAACGAGGTGGCCCCGTGGCCAGTGGAGGAACCAGGGGACGCAGGAAGCCGTTGGAGGAACAGCGCGGAGGAGGAAGTGGTGTCTAGGGAAATTGAATTGGAAGAGAACGAGGTGGCCCCGTGGCCAGTGGAGGAACCAGGGGACGCAGGAAGCCGTTGGAGGAACAGCGCGGAGGAGGAAGTGGTGTCTAGGGAAATTGAATTGGCGGAGAACGAGGTGGCCCCGTGGCCAGTGGAGGAACCAGGGGACGCAGGAAGCCGTTGGAGGAACAGCGCGGAGGAGGGAGTGCAGGCGCCGGAGTCGGAATATACCATGGAAGAGCTTGAGGCAACTTACCTGACTCCGGAATTTATGGACTGGTTGGAGTATTCAATATCAGACGCCGACCGCGACTGGATTCTGGAGGGTGGGTAAGGTTTTTGAAGGGGATAGCTGTCCTATCGGGGGATGTTGACGCGAGGCATATATTGTTTATTTATAAGTAGTATAGTTATCTCTGTAATATCTTAGTGTCTCGCCGTCGTTTATTTATATAGGAATAGTTATTATTTTTTTTATAATATTATTTTGCAATGTTATTTTTTTTAGAAAAAATAATGTTTATTTTTTTTTAATATAATATAAATAGTGTAGAAAAAAATAATAGATAATTATCTTTGATTCATTTTAAGAAAAATAAATATTATTGAATATTATTGAGGTTTATATTTTTTTTGTTTTAGTTGATTTTTCTTTAAAAAAAAAAAAGCAAATTTGTTTAAAAGAAAAATTAATTAATTACTTAATAAAGTTTGTTTTTCTCCTTGTGAGAAAAGTATATTTAAAAGAGAAAAAGATTTGATTAATCTTGTTAGGTACAAAAGAAAAAGAAATTAAAAATTTAAATTGATAAGATAAAGCTTATCGTTTTCGTTCCGAACCCCTGTCCCCTATAAATTGTCCGTTTGTCAGTCTTTTTGATAGAATTTATTAAATGTTTATTATTTTATGAATAACCTATATAAAAAATATTGGATTTATTTATTGGTTTATATTTTAAGCACGTCAAGCAGTGTGTGACTTCAGAGATAGCTAGCTTAGATGCAATAATTGAGAGAGATTGGAGATCGTAAATAACCTAAAATAGGTAGCGTTGTTTGAAGCCGGGAAAGATCGTTTAATTGCAGATTGACAACTCTCTTAATTTTTTTTGATCAGTAGTTCATAGAATAGAGATTCCTTTGTTAACTTGAATAGAGATCTAGGTGCTTAAAGAATTTTAAGTATGTTAAAAAATTTATAAGATTATGTGATTAATGGACTAGTAAAATATGAAGACCTCCATGTTTTTGAGATTGGATATAGTTTTTGCGAAGAATTGCTGTATAACTGCGGCACCACAAATGGAAATCTAAGGGAGATTTGTGATGCCTTAATATTTTTGAAACCAAAACGGTTTAAGATTGAGAAAAAAGAGCAGAATTTAGTCTTGTTTCTCATTAAGTTTTAGTTATTAACTTGTATTATCTGTCGCGCTCTTTTAATCTCAAGGCGTGGTCCAGAGACTTATCGATTTATCATAAGTGAATATAGAAATTACAATTAACTAATATATTTTTGATGATACTGCACAGGACAAGATAAAACAAAAGACTCAATGGCTCGCTCTGAAATTTTTTTGAAGATTATAATAATTATTAAATTTTTTGAAAAAATTGTAATACACCGTTAAAGAAATTTTAGCACACCAGGTCGAACAAAAGTATAACAGGTCTGACCAGACAATCGTGTATATAAAGTTTTCGGGCCGGGATGGACATCTTATACAAAAAAATTATTAGGCGGCGACTATCAAATCTCTGATTTTTCATAAGATTTTGATAGGCCATCCTAGAGAATTTTAATTTAATTTTTTTAAATCTCAAGCTAATTTTTTATCTTGATTAATACTATTTGAAAATAACTACAATAAGCCTATTTTTTTTTCATTTTAAGGGCTATATAACCAAAATACGAAATCTATAGATAGTATAATAAATTAACAAAAAATAAAACAATATATTTGTGATATTATACAATTACAAAATACATACACGATTGATTTCTAAAATGGTTGTTGTAAGGAAAGCCACAGAGCAGTAGCGTCATTAGGGGGCACGCATGGGCTCGAGCCTCCTCAAAAATTTGGGGAGATCTTACAGAAAATTTAACGGAATATGGCGGACTTAATGCAAAACTTTAACGGGCCGGTAGAACATTTCGTAAAACTATAAAGTGCCAGGCCTTGCCAAAAATATCCGGGCTGGAAAACTTGTGCAAATATTCTTAACGGGCCGAAGCGGGCTTTGCAGACCTCCAATACAGATTGAATGACAAAAAATAAAAAAATTAAAGTTATCGAAATATTTTAAAAATTCCAATTGATGAATTTCCTTATATTATATATACAAAATGGATATTAATTATATTTTTAATAAGGTAAATATTTATCAATTAAAAAATAGTAACATTTTATAAATGTTAAATTTAAGTATTTTTTATTAAAATTAAAGTTGAATAGCAAAAGACACTCTCAAGTGAATTTTTCAAGTATTTGTTTATACAAGAGAAACGCATTTCCTTATTACTTTTTAAAAATTATTATGCCAAAGAAATAAAATTTTCTATTATATCGATGACTCTTGAAACTTGTATACTTTTATAAAGGGATATAATATTATTATGTGGCCAGCTTATGTACCATAGGATAACCATGCATCTAGAATTTGCCTGTTTTGGTAAATATCATTTTAAACTAATAAAAAATTTCCCCGCTACACACCCCCTGCCCCCTTTTCCCAATATATATTATAACAATATATTACTATAGACATTAATTTGAAAGAAAACAAATAAAAATTAATCATTTTTTAAAAACAACTATAATTCAAAATTTTTTCATAAAATTTCTTTTTTTTAAAAAAGTAAAAACACAAAAATATTATTAGATATAATATAGAACAAGGTCAACAATAAGTGGACTTAAAAACCTCTAGTAAAATATATGGCGCCCCCCCCCAATAGAGAAATCCTGAATTTGCTTATGGTAGGGTACTCAATTTATTATCATAGTCAGGGTTGTCAGGTCAAAATTTTCAAATGGAGAAATTAGTATTTTGCGGGAGAAATTAGTATTTTGCGGGAGAAATATTAAAATTGCGGTAGAAATATAAAATTGCCAAAAAAAAATTTTTTGCGGGCCAATTGACTTAATTATCCGCCTATTATTTTTTATAATTAGTTTATATAAATGCAAAGTCGGTAAATATTTTTCAAAATAAAATAACATCTTGATTTATTAAAATTTATTAATTTATAAAAAAAAACCAACGATCTTTTTTAAATATAAAAGAACTAGTTGATAACCCGTCAAAAATGACGGGGATGAGAATTTTATTCGTTCTTTTACGATAATTCTTTTTACCCTTCCCCCTCCTCCTTCAGGCCAATTCCAACCCATTAAGACTATGAGTGATGAATTGTCTTTTTTATTCAATGATTGATGAATAATATAAGTTCTCTTTTCTTCGCTCAATGTGGTTTCGTTTTTGAAGATGATGTTGTAATTTCCTTGCAGTTTGCCGTAAATAACCTGAAAAAAAACGTGTAAATTGAAATTATAAAATAGAATTTACTGTTGTTGGTGAGGAAGATGGTTTAGCGATGGTGAAGAAGTTCTCTTTTCTTTGCTCAATGTGGTTTCGTTTTTGAAAATGATGCTGTAATTTCCTTGCTCGTAGTTTGCTGTAAATAACCTGAAATAAAACGTGTAAATTGAAATTATAAAATAGAATTTACTGTTGTTGGTGAGGTAGATGGTTTAGCGATTTGAAGAAGTTCTCTTTTCTTTGCTCAAGGTGGTTTCGTTTTTGAAGATGATTTAAAGTTGGTGATTTGATGGTGAATAACAAAGTTGGTGACTTTTTTAAATTTCTTACAAATTATGAATTTAAGATTTCATTATATACGATATTTTGTGTGAATGTTTTATCATTTTTTAAAATTTTTCCTTGTAATTCTGATGGCAAAATCATAATTTTCATATTATTTTGAGATTTACATCTAGTAAGAGCCACATATAGTTGTCCATGGGCAAAGACGGGCTCAGGGAGGAATAAGCCTACATGATCAAAAGTTTGTCCTTGACTTTTATTTATTGTAATCACAAAAGCGGGAATTATAGGAAACTGTCATCTTTTTAAAGTAAATGGTAACTGAGAGTCACTTGGAGCTAGATCTATTCGTAGGAGAAAAACTCGAAATCTAACCTATCTCAAACCTTATAAAATGATGTAATTTTATATTTTCAACTACTCATTAAAATCTGCACCAGGGGGAATTTTTAGCATAATAAATATATCATGTAAAAAATATCTATCTTTCTTAGGTCAAATAGAATTTTAAAAAATTACCTGCAGTTTGCAAAAATAAATTCAAAAAAAAAACAATTGATGAATAAAATAGCATAAATATATAGCTATCTCTAGGGGTGCATCGAAAGTACTATTTGGAAGCTGATCCAATTCAATATTGAAATTATTAAATTAATAATAGCTGATTACTGATCTATAGTCTGTAAACATTTTAGGTTTTAAATTTTAATACATATATCTACTCATCTCATATACTTTTAATAGTATAACATCTATAATTTAATTATACAATAACATAAGTCCTTTAAATATATTGTAATGATTTTATTATAAAATATTCTTAATGATAAATCACTTATTTATATAACATTAATCTATATACATAATAAGTAATAAACAATTTTATCGGATTGGATAAAATTTTTTATATAATTGGCAAATAATATTTTTAAAAAGACGAAATATCTGTTCAATCTGTTAAAGATATTGGTAGATCCCTAGATATTTTTATTTTATAAACATGTAATATCAAAAACAGGCCCTTGACAACACTAATATCAGATCCAATCGACCTATAAAAATCAGTTGAACCAGAGGGATGTTTATAATAAAAAATCTTAAGGGTGGCATTATTTTGTACTCTGATTAAATTGGTTTGAACAAATCTTGCTAAAATATTGACCATCCAGACTGAACAATATTTTTATATAATTTCCTGTTGAACCTGATATAATTTAATTTTAAGTTGCATGTATTTTATACGTAAGAAAATAATTATCTTGAAAAAAATAATAATTGAATAAAATAGATTTACTTTTTGAGAAGTTAAGTTCATTTTCCTAGTATAGATATACTTGAGTAATGTTTTAAATGCTTGATTTGGGGCATCTTTTAATTCGATTTCATTACAATCTGGCAAAGATTTTTTCATTCCACCATATAAAAGGGCTCTATTTTTTAAACACTAAATTATATAGGTTACATATAAATTAAGGTAATAACCTAAAGTATTCGCTCCTTGAAGCTAGTATATTTTGTAACCTATAATTTCCTGTTGAGCCTGATATAATTTAATTTTAAGTTGCATGTATTTTATACGTAAGAAAATAATTATCTTGAAAAAAATAATAATTGAATATAATAGATTTACTTTTTGAGAAGTTAAGTTCATTTTCCCAGTATAGATATAGTTGAGAAATGTTTTAAATGCTTGATTTGGGGCATATATCTAAAATCGAATGAGGCATAGGGGGCCGATATTTCATAAGGAGTCTGTCTATGTGACTCCTCAAAGATATAAATGATGGTATCGCCTCAGAATAGTTTTCTATTTCTGGATCCTCCAAACATCTCTTATCCATAGTTTGTTGATAAATGTTTAAGCGTGTCTCAAAGAGATTCTAAGCTACAATGTTTTTGAGTGCTTCTTTAGTTTTAAGCATCACGAATGTCCCTATTTCAAAAGGATGATCATGTATACTCGAAGCAATATAAACACCATCAATGCATTTAGCATGACAATCAGCTACTCTACAACGATATTTTATAATGTCCCTATTTTGACAGTGAAATCTATATAGATAGTTCTGAAAGAAGAGTAACATTTTCCCCTTTTGGCTTTTGACAACGAGCCACTAGTTAATTAAAAATAATATTAATGCAATTTATTATAATTATTTTTACCATAAATATTTGAATTTAAGTCTAATAAGGCTTGTGCGATGTCAAGAGGGGAATCTAGATTTGTGTCAGGCACTATGGGAGAAACTTGTGGTTCCAAATGTGGAATACCATTGGGTGAAACTAGATTATAAAGAAAATTGTCAAATTAAGAATTTTTAAAATTTTTATTTACTTGAGATATCAGGCACTATGGGAGAAACTTGTGGTTCCAAATGTGGAATACCATTGGATGAAACGAGATTATAAAGAAAATTGTCAAATTAAAAATTTTTAAAATTTTTAGTTACTTGAGATATCAGGCACTATGGGAGAAACTTGTGATTCCAAATGTGGAATACCATTGGATGAAACTAGATTGTAAAGAAAACTGTCAAATTAAGAATTTTTAAAACTTTTATTTACTTAAGATATCAGGCAAAATCACAGAATCTTGTGATTGTGTTGATGGAAGACTAAGATGGGTGTTATCTAATTTAAAATAAAGATGTTTAAATATCTTAAATATTTATTTTATTACATTTACACTTCGCTGTGTGTTCTATCGTGATTATTATGTCCTTTAATGAGAGCTTAGCTCTACCAGAACAATTATCACGACAACTTAAGTGTATAAATTTTTTGTTGGCACTTTTTATGAGGTACTTGTACCCTTAATAAATTATTAAATGATTTCCTTTTTGAGTTTTCTTAAAAATAAAAAAATATATAAAAATATATAAAACAATATTACTTCAAATTTAATATTTTGAATCTTAAGGTAACATTCCAAATTATTGGCAACAGTGGCTATCATCTATAAATATTTGAATTATTTTTAAAAATTTATTAAGAATATATAAATCTATATTAAATCAGTGCTATTATAATTATTAGAGTAATACGTATAAATTATATTGTTACTGTTAACAATTGTAAAAATGGAATATCAAGATCACTCATAATGTCAAATATAGTATTGATAGTTTAAGCTTAATTGATTTAATATTATTAAGTTATTTTACAATCTTAATTAATTAAATATAATCATTTATTAATTGAAAATAAAATTAATCCAATTTAATGGTGTGATTTGCGTTGTCAAGTTCAATATCAATAATCAACTAAATCACTCTTTTTTAAATTTAGGCCTTTAAGAAAATTTCTAAAATTTAAATCAGTATCCAAAACTTCTTAGTGAAAACTCTAACTATATTTAATTAATACATCTTTATAAATTATATTATGATCATTAAGTTCAATATCAAAATTTAAGTCTCTAAGAAAATTTCTAAAATTTAAACCAGTATACAAAACTTCTTAGTCAAAGTCAGTATTCAAAACTTTTGAGTGAAAACTCTAACTATATTTATTAATACATCTTTATAAATTATATTATGATCATTAAGTTCAATATCAAAATTTAAGCCTCTAAGAAAATTTCTAAAATTTAAACCAGTATACAAAACTTCTTAGTCAAAGTCAGTATTCAAAACCTTAGTGAAAACTCTAACTATATTTAATTAATACATCTTTATAAATTATATTATGATCATTAAGTTCAATATCAAAATTTAAGCCTTTACTAAAATTTAAACCAGTATACAAAACTTCTTAGTCAAAGTCAGTATTCAAAACTTCTTAGTGAAAACTCTAACTATATTTAATTAATACATCTTTATAAATTATATTATGATCATTAAGTTCAATATCAAAATTTAAGCCACTAAGAAAATTTCTAAAATTTAAACCAGTATACAAAACTTCTTAGTCAAAGTCAGTATTCAAAACTTCTTAGTGAAAACTCTAACTATATTTAATTAATACATCTTTATAAATTATATTATGATCATTAAGTTCAATATCAAATCAGTATTCAAAACTTCTTAGTGAAAACTCTAACTATATTTAATTAATACATCTTTATAAATTATATTATGATCATTTTCAATATCAAAATTTAAGCCTAAGAAAATTTCTAAAATTTAAACCAGTATACAAAACTTTTAAAAAAACTAATATATTACTTGCACTTTTAATTTTTTATCGCTTCAGATATGGCGGCCATTTTTTGAATATGTTATTTTGAAGACGTTTTAAAACATACTCAATTTATGCTATTTTGCAGAGTTGTTAAAGTATCTAGATATAAAAATGTAGTATCTGTATCTAGATAGATTTTTTAGAAAGGTATCTGAATCTAGATATTTTTTTAGAGGTATCTGTATCTGTTTTAGATACTTTTTAAGATACATTTTATATACCCCTTTTTTTATTATAAATAAAAATATTTGACTGTAAAATTTATTTTATTTCATCTGTTTACCACTCTTAGATGCCTTACTTAAAGGGATTGAGGATAGGTAAATTAATATAATAAATTAAAAATATTTAATAATTCTAGGTTTATTGTGACCTTATTTGAAGATGATAATATTATAGCAACCATGCTCCACCCTTTTTTTAAACTTGATTGGACATGGTTGCAAATGGAAGAAAATCTTAATAAAAAAAACAATTGATACAAAGATAAGCTGGTGAATTATCAAAGTCATCAACTGACTGCAAGCAAATAACCTGCCAAAAAAAAACAAATAATTTAATTTCAGATTTTTTTCAGTACCCTACAGCAGATATAATTTCTAATAATGATTTAAATTTTGATAATCAACAAATTTTAAATAATTTTTTCAAAAATGAATGTAGAGATTTTAGCATTTTTAAAGAATACCCTGATATAAAATTGTTATTTATTAAATATAACACTACAATTCCTTCAAGCGTCCCTGTGGAAAGACTATTTAGTGTTGCTAAAAATGTCTTTACAGATAAACGAGGATGCCAATGATCAAAATTTTGAAAATATTTTATTACTGAAATCTAATAATTATTTAATCATATATTTTCATATTTTATATTAAAATCATTATTTTAGTTATATTCTGATAAATGTTATATCGCGTCAATAAATTTTTTAGCTCATTTCATGAATTTTCACAATATAATATTAATTTAGCTTTATGCAAACCTATAAGAGCATAATAAAAATGTATCTGTATACAGATACATTTAAAAATTGTATCGGTATATAGATACATTTAAAAATTGTATCGGTATACAGATACATTTAAAAATTGTATCGGTATACAGATACATTTAAAAATTGTATCTGTATCTTGATAACTTTTTAGACGCTGTATCTGTATCTAGATAACTTTTGAGACTATTTATCTGTATCTGTATCTAGATCCATTTAAAAAGTATCTTTTAACAACTCTGCTTTTTGAGCAATGCTATTTAGTGGTCAACCGTATGGAAGTGATTTGTGAATGAATGATTTAGTTTTCACATTGATTACCATTGATCAAATTTGCTATAATCATTTTGATTGGACAAATAATATTTAAAAGAAAACTATTGGCTAAATTTGATTGACATTTTTTGAGGATTATATATATAGATGTAAACAAGATAAAATTTTATAAAAAACAAACCATTTAATTTTACAATGTAAAAATTATGTTTTATGCGAATATTCCGCAAGACCGCAATTGGAAATCTACCGCACGTGTGTATAAAATTATTATAGAAATAGACGCTTAATTATCACGTATCAAGTTTAAATACATAATAAGATAATATTGTACTAATTTCAATGATAATTATTTTATTTATTATAGTTCAATCACATTATTATAATCAGTGCAGGGGAGTGTATCTACATTCATTGCAAAACAAAAATATTCTCCATAAATAAGAAATAATACAGATGCAATGCAACTACAGTTGCGGCAATTGTAATCACTTATCTTGTAGTACAACATTCACAGAGCTACTTATCATTACAATGTAGGTAGAATCTTTCCTCATAATATTTAACGACTCCAAGATAAATGAAAACTTTACTTGTAGAACAAAAATGAGCAATATCATCAATGTTTTAGAACTTGAATCCACTTGACTATTTGAAAGATGGGCATACATATGCAATTCTAACAGATGCATCTAACAAGGGAAATATTTAAATATTTCCCTTAATCCTCCCCTATTTCAACAAAATTAAGGACGTTTCAATTAAACTACTATATTTTTTCCCCTCAAATAGTGAAAAATCCAATTGTTAGGAGAAACAATTTTCTAATATATATAATCGCCATAATCAAGAAATGAACGTTTTCGTATAACCTTAATGTTAATTTTTAATTTTGGTATCAACTTTCCTATCATCATAATGTTAAATGAATCGAAGGAAACTATATACCTCTAATGTTAAATTATTATTTTTAAAAAGAAAACTTTATTAAATTTTTTTTTTATACATCAACGAGATTTGAACTACTGGCTTAACATTGATAGACAAACGTTCTTTCCAGTCACCGTCCTTCTATATTAAATTTTATAATACAATTCTTCTTATATATGAAACTATATTATGATAAAGTAATTTAAATATATCAATATTTATCTTTTTTATAGGAAGCTCCAGGCTTGGGATAACAATTTCAAAATTATTATCGGTTGGCCAGATTTGATATAAAATTTTTAAAATTATAATGGGACTGGTTGGGCTTGGAAAATATTTTTATAATATTTTTTTTATTGGAAGCTGAAAAAAATTTCAAAATTATTATCGGTTGGCCAGGTTTAAGAAAATTTTTTTCAAAATATTGGATGGGGCTGGGCTTGGAAAATAAATTATATTGGGCCGGGCTTGGGGAAAATTTTTCAAAAATAATATGAGCTTGGAAGCTTGAGAATTTTTTTATTATTAACTATGGGTCAGACATTGGCCTAAAACAAATTTTTTTTGCAAGCCTGGGCTCGGCCTGATCAAAAAACTAAGGCCCATGAAAATCTGATTTTGATTGTATTTTTAAATTCATTATGATTATTTAAATGTTTTATTTCAGTTCTCAACTACCAAAATTATTATAATCTTTCATTGGGCTTGGAAGAATTTTTTTAAAATTATTATGGCTTTGTACTTTGCCTAGGAATTTTTTTAATATTAAATATTAGGTATGATTAGACCCGTGCGCCGATCTCTCAATCAACGGCGGCGGTTTTTTAAATTTTTTTATCGGCGTTCGGCGGCGCGCAGATTTCGTCGCCGTCTACTAAATTGTCGGCGGCGCAATATATTTTAAAATTTTTTAATGAATTTAATTTATAAATCAATTATTTTTTAATGAATTTAATTTATAAATGAATTTATTTTTTAATGAATTTAATTTATAAATTAATGTATTACATTTTTTATAATTTATTTAGGCGATCTTTTTTAACACATTGTTAACATAGTTTAATTGATCTTAAATTATTT